CAAGTTGGCAAAGAATGAAAAAGTAATGAAAAAGCACAAGCAAAAGAATGAAATGTATTTCATTGCCAAGGAGAAATGAAAAATGTGGTGGGTAGCAATGAAATAGCTGTCAAGAAAGAATGAAATTGCCTAGGCATTTCATTTAGGGGGATTGAAAAGACTTTGCAGGCAACTGTCACGAACCATCCTCGTGACCTACAACCTCACATGACTAACCACCCCATAACTCACTTCTCGGACTCCAACACCAAAACAACTCCGACCTTGTACTCTGGTAAACCAATGCCGAACATGTGTATCCAACTCCAAGCACGACAACTCCGAATAGAACAAGGCGCTTATTGTTCTTGTTCTGCCAAGTCTCCTGTCCTCTGCCTTGGCAAAAACCCTCTTCACAATAAACCTCAACTCCAACTCCACGCTTCCTCACATATCATCTCCGCCTCCATGATACTTCCCTTATGGCCCTTGTTCTCTCTATTGTTCTACTTTGTACTGGAGTTACCAACCTCTTTTCCTTTTTCACAGACCTTATTCTCTTTGACTCGTATAAATACTCCTTGCATGTACCAAGTACCCTCATCCTTGATATTAAAGTTAACTTCTGTCTTGTTCCTTCGTCCTCTCGTCTCAGCCTCTCATCTGCATTATCTCTACTAACTTGCCTCGGACTTCAACTCCGATGCCAAATCCACCTTACACCGAGTTATCGTGTAACTCCGATACACTAACATTTCACTTAGTGTTCACTTCACTTTGCGTATTCTTGAGTCTCCAACTCCAAGCCCATGCTACCTTCATCTCTGACTGACTTAACTCCATTCCTCCTGTCCCGGAACTCAACTCTGTGCCTCCCAGCTTCTTGGACTTAGCTCTGTACACTTATGCTTCGGACCTAACTCCATACAACAACTCGATTACAGACCTCATCCCTATTCCAGTCTAGTAACTACCGGTGGTATCTACGTCGACCTCTACCTCATCTCGTGCCCTATCCAAGGAATAGGATGGATCCTAACAGCAACTGCCTATGTTTTATCATAAAAGTGGTAGGCACTAGTGTCCATTTGACAGCAGATTCGGAATGTTAACCTCCTACCAGCATTGTTCTAGATCCACTAAGACACCTTGTTTCCAGAATTGACTGAGATGTAGACCTTTGATCTGATCAGTGACTTGTGGGTCAAGATCAGCCTCCCACCTAGAAATGGATGCCGTCCACCAGGCAATGAAATCTAGATAATCAATTGCCATCCTCATGGCAAGGCCCTCAGCACCTTGAAGCTCAGCACAGTCAGAAAACTTCCAATTAATGGCATCTCAGTCGTAAGGGGAAGGGCAGGCAGAGTTCTGTGGAAATGGATGATTTGTGGCGATTTCGTCAATAAGTGAGGACCAGTTGGCAAGATCCAAATTGAATGTGGAACATGTGTGCTCAGAGATGGTAAAGCCTCTGTCCATTCCATGTTCCCATGGGGTTGACAACTCAAAGTCCCAGAACCAGTCACACCTGCTCCACAAGCAGACAGACAGACGGAAGTAATGAATCAGGGTTTGGAAATCTCAATCTGAGCCTATATCAACCCTGAACGCGATAACTGGAGCAATCTATTGGACATTCTTGCACTTTCCTACAACAGCTCACTACATATGGCCACAGGATTTACACCTGCTTATTTGTTAAGAGGATACCATCCTATTACTGGGTCGACCTTGCTGACGAGCCCTCAACCTATAGGAAGAAATGATGTACATGAGGACCACGTGGAAGTACTTGACGAGAAAGCACTGCACATGGTGGAATGTTTTGAGGCTGAGCGAAAGAAGGCACAGGATGCCCTACTCTTGGGTCAGATTTTCCAGAAAAAGACATACAATAAGGACAGACTAACTTGGGAGTTTCAGGAGGGTG